CAGTTTTTCAAAAAAAAATATTTTGGAAAAAAAAAAAAAAAAAAAAAAAAAAAAAAGAAAAAAAAAGAAAAGAAACAAACATAATAAAAATACACATCAGCATCAAAAGTCAACACAAGGTCAAAGGTGAGAGTTCAAGCATCAGAGAAGCTGAAGAGACAAGGATTTGGACGATGTACTTGAACGCCACATCGACATGCTTTAGGCACAACGATGAACAAACGGCAGGAATCTAGAAAAAAAAACAAACCAGAAAGAGGGAGACCCACTGAGTTACACAGAGCAGTACATCCAAACACGGAGAGAGAGAACAAGAATGGGCACTGTACAATGAGATCTCCTGGGGAAGGGAGTTGACAGGGAAGGGCAGCACATGCCAACGATGGACAAGTAAAAGTTGAAGTACATGAAGGACACCAAGTAAACATCAAACTGCCAGAAACCAAATGGAAGCAGAGGCCTGGATTTCCCTCTCAGGACCCAGTCTGTGGAGCATTGCTAACACTGGTTAGCATGCATTCACCTTGCCCCGTGCCCAGTGTGTCTACTACCTCTGTTTAGAACAGAGTAAACTCCCTCCCCAGGAGACCAATTCCAAAAATATGACTCCAGGGCAAACATTTGCCCACAGGGACTGAGACCATGAGAGACAAGACAGAGGACACAAGGGATTCACAGGTGGTTTGACATTTGAGACTTTTCTTGCACTCTAACATGGGAAGTTCAGGCAGTAGCAGCCCAGCAAATCCATATTCTTTCCTTTAGCTACAGTCTCTTCTCATTCCCTAGGAGCTCATGTAACTGGGGGTGGGTGATTGGGAAAGGGGGGGGGGGAAAGATTATACAAGACAAAAAGCCCACACATCAGAGAAGAATTCCTTAAGACTTGACTGCAAGTTAAGACTTGTCCTAGCTGAGCACTTGTCATACCATTAGACCTGCACAGGGATTTTCCATTCCCAACCTTTTATGTAACAGCCTTCAGCTCCCTGGCTTCATGAGGAGGAGATTCTGGGCTCTGAGAAGTCACTCTACAGTCACTGTTGCCAGTTTGATGAGCAGAAAAAAATGTGTTTCCTGAAATTTTCTTGAAGCGTTTATAAAAAAATAATTCTTATATTAAGTGACATAAATACTTCTGTTCCCTCCCTTCAGCTTGTGAGCTGCAAGAGACAAGGAACATTTTGGGCTGAGAGTGGGAGGCAGAAGAGGGAGGAAGCGGCTTGTTTTCTTATCCTGCCTCCCCACACCCTCAACTCCCCTTTAGCTCCTTTTGTGGCCTTAATCTTCAGCACATCTCAAAGCTTCTGGTTACACACTAGAACAAGGTGAGATTTACATATTATTTAACATAATTTGAAAATAGCAAGTGTTGCATTCTCATTCCAAAGCAACGAGAAACACACTGTCTACTAAATCAGCAACACTCCTCTTATTAGAACTGCTGACATTAATTTGCTTTTCATGTTTTCCAATAAAGGGAAAGGACTTTAAACCGAGTTTAAAAAACTCCAGCAAACAGAATACAATGTAACTCTTGCACTTATTTTTGTATTTCAGGAAATACTCTAGATAATTTGAAGATAGATGCAAGATTTCACTCTTAAACCAGAAAAGCAAATTCATCATGAACTGAGGCATGAGAAACAAGAGGCATGAAGTCAAGTGACATCTTAGCATGCACCACTGAAATCCTCTGTGTGATTTGTCTGGGCATTTTCTTGATATGGATTTTTCAAATATTTCACTCAGCTATGTTGAGGGCGAAGACTGAGTTTTATCAAAGACCTGTGGAAAGACTGGCCTATAAAAACAGAACCATGAGATGCTGGACAAGGTCTTGATGACTTGGAGAGTTTGTCCTTGTTTTATTCTCACAATAGTGACAATTCTGCTTTCTGTGTTTTATATTTTGTGGCAGGTATGTTAGGAATATCAATCCTCTTTAGGTTTAAATGTCTGCAACTTGATTTATCCAGGTTGTTTTTAGGAATTTCCAAATAAAATAGCAACAACTTCATTCTGCTTTGTTGTTCTTCCCTAATCCACAGCCATTACCAGTCCAGTTAGATTCAGCTTGCATGACAGAATTACCATAATATGTGAGTTTCAGTATTCAGGTGAAAAGCTTTTTCCTGGTAGATGCACTTGCCAGTGAGATTTTTCTGAGCTGGAATTTTTAAATAATGCCAGCTTTGTATTAAAAAAAAGCTAAATTACAAAGAGCTATCCTGTTTTGGACTGTTGATTATCTAGGGGATTGAAGAAACTATTTCATTTACTATAGTATTGATATTAAGCAGTATCAGACAAAGTTCATAATTCTTACACCTTATTACTGCAGTAAAATCAAATATCTCCTGAGAAAAAGAATAAATCTATGAAGTAGAACATTTCCACCTTGTAAACTGAAAATATCTTAAGTATTTCCTGGTGGCACATGTAAATAAGGAATTCTTTTTAATCAGAAATTCTTTTAGTTTTCTTGTAGAAAATCAGGTTCTTTGGTTTTAAGCATACAGCATACTTTGTTCATGTGGTTGCTTTAGCCAACCTTCTGCAGTTTATTTGAACTCCCCCAACTCTTATATTACTATCCAGGAAATAAGAGCATTTTACACTGATTTGATTTGCACTTGAATGAGAGCATGATATGAACTAAAAATTTAAAAGTCCCAAGTCCCCAGAATCCCAGACTTTCCTGCCAGTAACTGAGGAAGAAAACTGGCTTAAGACGGAAAGGCAAGAGCAGCCTAAATCCCCACAATCAGTGGCAGCCACAAATCAGACACAGAAATGTTGACTTTATCTGTTCAGTTTTGTTATCAGAAAAAAAATCTGCCCAAGTCACAAACTTGATACATTTATTAACTTTGGCAACATACACATTGATACACCAAGAAAGGGAAATCTGAAACAAATACACAAAAAGGGCAACATCTTCAGCTGGTGAAAACTGATGCAGCTCTACTGCATTCAAAGAGCTGAACTGCATTGATTCAAACCCTCTGAGGAGCACATCTTTTAAAATTTAACCTGCATAGATTTATTTTCTTTTTCTTTTTGGCAATACTTATAGTTACGCCAGTAAGGCACAAGAACTAGCCCAAGTTAGGTGTCTTAAGGTAATTATGTCTGGGAGGAGTCACTGATCAAACTAAGCCACAGTGTAAACTGGACAATCTCCTAAAGTTAATAGGAGTCACACCTATTTGCAACAATGCCAAGCTTGATCTGTAAGTTACAGTATTGAGGACACACTATAGGATGAAGAAGCTAAAATATCTAATTTTGGGCAATTGAAATGACTAATAAAGAGGCCAGAGCATCAGGTTAAAAGAAAAACAGGACAAAGATCTTGGATAGTAACAGTGGGGTAGGGTGCAAAGAAGGTAAGAGTGACTGTAGAGACCCCAGAGCACAGTGCTCTCCTCCACTGGTTCACAGCATTCATCTTCCTCGTTTAGCAGTTGTTGGGCTGCAAACAGGCCACTGAAAATCAGTAGTGTCAATCATGCACATCATTATGTGTGTAAAACAATCACATTCAGGATTCTACAAAACCCTGGCCTTTTTTTCCAGTGAAATAATTTAGGTAATAAATATTCTCCACCCCGGAGCGGTATAAAACTTCTATAAAAATAGAAACAACATTCTTGGTTACAGCAGGTTACACTTGGAGCAGTTGCTCCCAACTACGTTTTTTATGTTTTTTTTTCTTTTTTCCTTTTTTTTGAAAAGTATATAATTTATATATATATATATAAAAAAAAAATCCCATCATCACCCTGGAGGCCTTCACACTCCAACACTCTTTTCTCAGAAAACCAGGACACATCTTTCCTATGGTGCAGAATTCAAGTGTACATGGTTCACTTCAGTGTATGTTTACGTCTCTAGAGAGATTCAAATAATTAACATAGAAGGGTACCACATGCCAGCATAACTGGGAAATTTGGCAATCTGGCCTTTGAAACTTTGCCACCACAAAATTATTTAAATAATACTGACAGATTTACCTGTCTGCCATCAATATGGACAGACTGACATCCACTGTTTTATTTTCAATCTAAGAACTGGAAAGGGCTCCCCTTGGATGTTACATATCAGGCCTTGTAATTCTGAGGTTTGAGATCCCAGGGGGCCCAGTCCCTGGAAATGCCCAACATTCCCAACAGATCACCACACACAAGTGGGGACTCTGACCGAGATCTCACGTTTGATGGGTTTAGTGCTCCTCCTGCTGGAGTAGAACACAAAGTCCTGACCCCACATCTGACCCACACACATCATTTAGCAGCTGGCTCCCAGACTGCAGTGTTAGTTGGAGCCCTGGGAAACAGCCTTACAACCCAGGAATACAAAGAAAACAAGGAAAAGGAGATACTATGAGGTAAATCAAACTTCCGTTAAAGACACAGAAATTGTAAACTTCCTCTTGCGACAGAGGTGGATTTTGGTGGTTATAAAATGGAACTCTACACTGATTTCTTGAAACAGCTCAGGCCAGAGTGTCAAAAGTCCTTTGAGCCCCCTAAAACCAGTGAATATCAAAGGCCCTTAGCAATGCACTAGCAATTTCACTGGTGTGCAGAAAAAGTGTGTGTTCAGTTAAGGGGTGTGTTCAATCTTCCTTCAATATAAAAAATAACAGCTTGTACCAAAAGGCATTAAAAGACTGAATGGCTCAATACTCTGGTTCCGCAGCTCCTGGTTTGGCCTGTTTTGCACTAGGTACACACCACCTTAAAGGAAAACTGCAGTAGAGAGATACACCTATTTACTAGACCAAGTCACTGCATGAGTTTTGTTCATTAAAAAAAACCAACAAAAAACCCAAACAAAACAGGAAATTATAATTTCAATAAACAATCAGCACTTACATTATGCTTATGAAAAGGAATTCATAGCAATCTCTGCAAATAAAGGACATTATTCCACAGAAATGGGGACAGTGATCAACTGTTACGAAGAAAAAATTGTCAAAAATTTCTGCAGGTTACCAGGGATCTAAAGTTTCTTGTTTCCAGACACAGATGTATTCATCCAGACTTAGCTGCCTCTATCTTTCCACAAAACCTAGATGAAGTACATAAGTTAATTTTTCTTATACATGGAGAAATTCACTGCATCTCATTAATATTCCACTGTAGACAGAGAGTAAAATTTTCTGGGCAGAGACATTATATAATAGTTTTATAAAGTGCTGTGTACATTCACACTGCTATATAAACACTAGTTTATATACAGCAAAAAAAAAAAAAATCACTGCAGTTTTCCTTTGGCTTGTTAATGTGTTCACCCTTTTAGCCTGTCTCCTGCTTTCGAGATGATTTAATAAATCCCCACTGTGGCATACAGTTAAGGAAATTTCAAAGAGCAGATGGGGTATGACAAAGGCTACATGGGGTTGGTTCTTTCTCACCCAGGACTCTGCTCTCCTTGACCATCTTTGTTTTCATCAGCTGTTCTGTGTTATTTCTGCTTTCCCTTCTCCTCTCTACCCCAAGGCAGTGTGGTGTCAGTTTCTGCTGCTCCCTTTAACCTTCTCTCCCCACCCCCAAGGAGCTGGCATTGGTCCTTCTCAACACACACTGGTTACAAACACAGCAAACTTCAAATAAGGGAGAAAAAAAAAACCAAAACTAAACAAAAAAACCTCAGCGATATGGCACCTAAACTCCAAAGTAAAACACTGGAAACAAAAGCACAAACTTGTCCTCCATCCGAAGCGGGATTCTCAGCAGAGGCTGCAGCAGAGTCTTCAAGGGAAGATGTGCCAGATAGAACGCATGGATCAGCTTCCAGGACTGTAAAAACACAGCCTTAGGGCTTCGAATCACTAAGTGCGCTCCTCTCCAACTTACCAGAAGATCCTTCTCACTCCAGTCCCAGAGGGGAGGGGTGCTCAGTATGGCTTGCTGTCGTTCTTGGAGCGCTTGAGCTGTACTTTCAGCCGCTTCATGCCGATCTGGAAGCCGTTCATTGACTGAATGGCAGCCTGCGCAGAGACAGGATTGTCGTAACTTACAAAACCTGAGGAGAGGAAAACACACAGTTACACCCCATGCCAGAGCTGCCCACAATGGCTACTCACAACTGCAAATGCAGGAGCTCACGAGGTCAGAGAGGCTTGCGTGAAGTGCCATTTTCAGAAGCTCACAACTGTTTCAGACTCATAATAACTTCTAAAGGCACTCAAACAAAGCATAGCTTTTTGACATACGGAACTTTAACTAGAAGATAGACACAGCTCAGAAAATTAACATTTTCTAGTCTATCAGCAAAATAAGTACTGCTATTTATAAGAACTCATACCTGGGAGAAAACCAAACTTGGAAAACATTCATCCAGATGCAAAAGCCCATTAAAGATATAAGACTGAAATCACCCTCATGACATTATGGCAGCAGTTTTGTTTGGAGTGACAGAGCAGCCAAGGAAGGGTAGCACTAGTACCATTACTGTGTTTAGATTGCTCTCAGATGGGAGGTTGCATATCATTTCTGGAAAAGATTATCCTGAAAATAAACCTCTCCAGTGTTTTGAAGGAGCCTGCTTTAAACAACTCCACTCAATGTCTGGAGTGAGAATAACTCCCATTTGAGACAATGGCTATGAGTCCATAATATGTAGGTGTTATAGCTGAATGATCAGCATATTTCTGTGTTCTCACAAAGCATCAGATTGTCCACTTCTTTTGGCTCAAATAGGAAAAAGTTCAGGATTTTATGTAGACACAAAGCTATCAAAACGATAGAGAAAGCCTCACCTCTCCTATTCCATCACAAGAAATCTCCATCTATCAAAACAGTCACGAGAGCTTATGGCACTACAAAAATACACTACACCCACAATAGTTATTTATAAAGATATTAATAGAAATAATTAATAATCATAATGTACTAAGTAATATATACAAATTGTTATTGAAATTCTTGAAAAGACAGGAAGAGGCAAGAGGAAGAACTATCTCAGGATTACAGTCTGCAAACAAATAATAATCACAGAACATTCTGAGTTAGAAGAGATCTACAAGGATCAAGGAATCCAACTCCTAAGTGAATGGCCCATAAGGGGACTGAACCCAAAACCTTGGCATTATTAGCACCATGCTCTAACCAACTGAAATAATCTCAGGGAGAATTATCCAGGGCCAGAACACTATAATAGGGCACAAAATTGTGAAAAGCAAAAAGTCATATTGAAAATCAGGAAAATACAGTTCATTGCTGGAAATGTTTGGTTTATTTATCTTTTAGGAATATGCAGAGATTCCCTACTTACTTAATAGATAGACTAGACAATATACTGAAAAAGGGTAATATATTATTACTATAAAAACCACCTTTTTATAGATAAAGATTTATAGAATGACAAAATATCCTGAGTTGGAATAGATCCACAAAGATCACTGAAGTCCCTGCACAGGACACCCTGAGAATCACACTGTTCATCTGAGAGCACTTTCCAAACACTTCTTGAACTCTGTCAGGCTGGTGCTGTGACTACTTCCCTGGGTAGCCTCTTCCAATGCCCAGCCACCCTCTGGATGAAAAACCATTTCATCCAATGTGCAACCTAAACCTCCCCTGACTCAGCTTCAGGCTTTTATCTCGGGTCCTGTCACTGATCACCAGATAAGAGATCAATTTCTGCCCCATTGCTTCCCCTTGTAAAGAAGCTGTAGATCCAACATACCAAAACACTTGCTTAAATTGGTCTGCTTGTCAATGAAAACCTTGGCAGAGACGACATTTCCAAATGGCATGAACATCTGCAGCAGATCTTGATCCCCAAACTCTTGGGGAAGATGGTAGATAAACAGATTGGCTCCCTCTGGACCTTCAAACAAGCAGGAAAATAAATTCAGAAAGAGCATGGATACCACATACCCACTGCACAAAAAAAGGTGGAAGAGCCAGATTTTCAAGACAAATTTTCTAGATAAAACAGTGAAACTGCTATTTACAGTACTGCAGAACACTTGATTCCAGAATAAATGAGCATGACCCTTTGCTGGGATTGATCACTCAAATAATTCTAGCTCTTTCTGACCACTTTTGTTAGTACTTTACACATTGTGCCAAATCTGGTTCACAGATATTTGCTGTAATGACAGCTGAACAGCAAGTTTGAGTAGTAGATGTTGACTGAACAAAAATTGTCTATGCAAAACTTGTGGTCCCAAAGCAACTAAGTAAATTTCCAAACAAAATACAAATAATCACATTGCTTGTCATCTGAGATTCTCTTCTAAACATGATACATTCTGCTGAAACTACATTCTACATTACTTTACACTACATATTAAATTTAACCTGAGTATGAAGAGTGAAAAGACTGGCATTAAGTAGCTGTTGGAAAAGGTGAAGTACCTAGAAAACAACATTAACAAAAGCACATCTGATCCTGTGACAGTTGGATGTATCAGGCTATAGACTCATATTCTCCTTCCCTCTGAGAACATGCAGGAGTATGATTAAGGAAGCACTTAAGACTAGACAAACCCCATGAGAAACATCCTGTATAAAAATTACTTTGGGCAGCCCTTAGTAGAAAGATCCCAAAGACCTTTTTTATCTTCAGTAACTCCTGGATTCTAAAAAATGACACCAAATAAAAAATCTGCAGGTAAGGTAGGTGCAAGGGCTAAGCTTGCCCTTTTGAAAACCCCTCTCAAGTAGTTTCTACAACTTTCTGCCTACCTTCTTTTTGACTTCCTGCTGCACCAATACTCTGCTGTGTTAAGAGACTCTGGTTATAGAGTGTGGGCAGTGCAGCAGCAGCATATTGCTGGATTCCAGAATAAGCTTGTGTGAGGGCTTCCATTGTGCTACCTGTCCCATTTGAGAGACCACCACTGCCAAGTCCTCCATTTAAGGCTGCCATTCCTGTATAAGAAAGAGCAAATAAAAGATGACTGAGTGCTTCCACTGAGCCAGACCAATAACCTTTCAAATGCTCTGCACGATTACAAAAAAGCAGGGAGCAGAAAAAAATCACCCCAGAGACAGGCTGAGGAATGATAATCAGCTATTCCTCCAAGCCACCACTACACATAACTTACCTGCTAAAGAGCTAACGTTGAGGCCAGCTGTAGCACCTGCCAGCGTCTGCAGTGCTCCAAGAGAAGCCATTGGATTAACAGAGGAGCTGCTACTGGAACTAGGTGAGGAACCTGCTATTAAAATAAAACAATTAAACTTCAACTCATATTTTTAATTCATGATAATTCAACTTCTTCATTAAGTTATTCCAGTGGAAAAAACTAGTAAGGAACAGATTCAGGCAACACAGGATACTTTATGTAAAAAAAAGCAAACCCACACAACTTGATCATACTGCTTATACGTTCTGAGCTCTTCCTACATTTTTTTTAGAATTTCTACTTCATCATAACACCTACTCTTTGTAGCAATAATAATGTCAGTAATTGTAAGACATGTCAGATTGAGACATTACACAAATGTTGGCTGAACTCTATATCTCAACATAAGGTAACCAGCAGCAATGCCCTGTTTCCTGCTGCCTAAAGTAAGAGTCACTTGCTATGTATTAACACATATTAACACAATATCCTTGAAACATCACTCAAGGTGAAAAAGACCTGCAACATAGATACCAGGGACATTAAAGAAGGCTGAACACACAGTTTTCCCATACTGCCAGAACAGGAACACCACATGCCCAGATTATTTTGACACATTAAATAATTTTCTATTAAAAATCCTGCTGCCACAGCTGGGGCTAGGACTGAGAAAAGTCTTGAAATGCACATCAAAAATAAATAGTCTGTCCTCTGTTCCAGCAACATCTCCAACTACATTGACTCAGTAAGAGAAGGTTGACAATATAGTACCTAGGACAGTAGCAGCTTACATGGCCCACCAAATTCTACACCAGGTAGAGTTAGTTCTACAGAAGTCAACATCAAAAACCATAAAAAAAAAAAAAAAGTTTTCCAAGCTGTAATGATATGTTAAAAGGTATATTAAAAGAAAAAGAAGTTCACACTGAGGTCATCTACAAAGATTTATGGACATGATAAAGTAAGAAATGCATAGCACTTTAATGATTATAAAGCAGTGGTTTTTCTAACAGATTTGTGCACTACTGCAGAAGAAAATCTATGTGTATTGCTATTAACCAAGAAGTTCATATTTACTGCACAAGATGCACTAGAAAGTATTTATGGCTGCTAAAAATTAAAAGATACTGAAGACTGATGTTGTAGAGGCATCTTGTAGTCTGCTTGCCAGAGAAATTTATCAGTTTGACCAAGGAGGTAAGAGAAGAACGGAATTTGAGGCATTTTCAATTTTTCTGATGTTTTTGTGATTCTCACTTATACTGTATACATCCTTTAAAACTTATAAAAGACTTGTTAGCAACTTTCAAGAAGTTTCACACACTCTACGTATTTACCACTTCATGTTTGTGGCACAAAGTCTCTGCAGGGGTGGGATATTGGAACTATTTAAATTGAATATAGCCTAACAACCTCCTAACAAAAGTAGTTGTACCTAACCAAATCTGCATGAGAACCAAAAAGCTGCACTTCAGACCACTTTTTGTAATAACAGATGGAATGAGAAACCTCTTCTAGTACATGTGAAGACAAACTCTCCTAATAAATCAAAAATTGAAAGACAATGTCCAAAACTATTTTAAGATATTTACTCTGACAAAAAGGAGACATTTTCTGTCTTACTATCAGTAGCATGTTAAATGTTAGAAAAACACAAAGAACAAATTACAGTATAACCCTCAAGCTGGTAGAAAAATTAGCAGAGCTGGCTGGATAAAAGCCAGAGTTCAGAAATCATACAGTTACCTTGATTTTAGAATATCACTTGTTTCTCTAGCATTTCATTGCTGATCTTTATATTCAAAAAGACACTGTATTTGACAGATGAGAACACCATTTAAAAACCTTTCCAAACCTATCCCAAATAAAAGAGGAGCAGCAGCTATGGAGAAAAAAGGACTAAAGAACAAAGTGAGAGAGAAAATGGATACCTTCCCTACTTTAAAAGGCTGTAATTTTAAATAAATTAAGTTAAACCACTATAAAAATCACACAGTTATTTTAGTTTAGCTGCCTTTATCAGAAATTTCTTTAGGCAAAAACAAGAAATCCTTTAGCACTGAAAATACCAAGAAAACTGAAGACTTGTCTCTATTTTCTTTATCCTATGTATGTAGGAATTGAAGACAGCATCCCATTTCTGATGATGACAAAAGGCAAATAGGTAACAGTAGAGCAGAAATACAGGGGTATTACAAAGGAATGCTTCCTGTGTATAGCCTATATACCAACAGAGCCATCTGTGAATCTAGGATTTTTTCAGCCAAAGGCAATGACTTTGTAATAAAGTTACAATTTTCATTCATTAATTTCAGCACAATGTGAAAAAAAAATTGTTGGACTCTACTATGTTCTAAGGCACAACTTCTGGGATTTAATCATGCACTATGCTAAGAAAAATCTGTTTTTATTTTTAAATTATCATGTGACAACTTGACTTGATATCTTGCAATTCTCTTCTTGAAATATCTAATGACTGCTTTTTCCCTATTCATTTTCATCACAACACTAATGTATTTGCAGGCTGTAATCATATCCTTCTCCCATGTCAGTCTTCTATTTTTCAGGTTATTTCTAATAGGGAAGGAGTTTACTGTTCTAGTCAACATTTCTGTTCTTTTGCTTTTCTTGTGTTATATTTTAGATCACAAAAGAGAACAAAGCAATGGGGATGGAAAATCAATATTGTTTTATACATGTTCTTTACTCTATACCTAATTCTTAACATTGTTTCTGTGCATCTTGTAGTGGGTTGTTGGGGTTTTTTCTTGCTATGTTTTCTTAGATCTATCTACTGAGTTAAATCTAGTCAAAAAGGCTAACTCTAACGGAAGTAGCTGAAAATAATTAAGAAGGTTTTCAGAAAATCTGAATATGTAATAAAGAACAGCTTTGTAGAAAGATACTGAAAGACATTATTAGAAACATAATGAAACTTGGACAAGGACATCAAGTAACAACTTGTAGAGGTAGGTAAACTGAGAGAACAGTAAATCTGTCCTAATTCAGTCACATTATCATCCAACAATGACCTGAAGGAAAGTTAAATTCAGGCAGTGAATCTGACTGAGCTATACCTGATTTAGTTCCACTAAACCCAGAAATACCTTGCTATCTCTGAAAACAATTTTGCCAGAGACATATCAAGGCCAGAAAAATCATCTAAGCTTTGCTGGACCTTTGAGGTTGCCTTTAGAAGAGAAATGGAAACATACCTCACAGTGTTTGCAACCATTCTATTTTGCTCTGAAGCAGATAATTCTTATTGGTGCTCAAGTCAAAAAGATGGCAGACAAGTCATTCCTATCCTGAGATACTTCAAGCTAGCAGTTTATTTATGGCCATGGTTTCTGCAGCAATGACTACATAACACCAGCAGACTGTTCAGTTCCAAGAGCTGATCTTCAGCAAGGCTGAAGGTTTTACTTCACCCCATTCTACATCAAAATACACAAGCGTGCTTGGAACTATCTAAAGAAAATTGTCTGAAATGGATAGGAAGGCCGCACAACAACAATATGTAATGCCTTTGAGTTCCACCATTCTGACATGTAACCCATCCATAGTCCATGGACTGCACTTTGTAGGCTTCCAAGTCCCCCAGATACAAATGATATCAGTGCAGATGAAAGTAAACCAAGAAGGCAACTATGCAGAAGGACTGTCTGGATTTTTCCACCAATTATGCAATTTGAGCAGAGATGTCCAAATAAGCATCAGGTGAACATTTGGATGACAGATGGAGAGAAGTCAAGGAGTTAGTCATCTCATCTGCAGTTAGGTTTAAGAGGTTATCACAGTAGATGCTGCCATATGTCCCTCAGTCAAGGCAGGCACTTACTGACACATGGTACTGAACTGCTATATGCTGAGTTTCTTCAAGGTCTGGGTGTGGCTCAGGAGGGATAGGTGTTTTCTGTGTGGAGCCCAACAGCCTTCTATGTGAATACATACAGAGTGAATGCACAGATGACTATTAATCAAAACAGAATTTCAAGTTTGCTTGAAGACTAAAGAGTTAAAAAGCTGTATAATTACAGGAAGTATCATGGGATTGAAAGCATCTGTACACGTTGAGGCTTCCCCTGATCGTAGTTTGAGCGTAGTTTTAAAAGGTGAAGCATATTTATACCTCTAACAAAATGCACTAGAACTGTTTCAGAATTTGATGTCTGACTACTTACAGACAACATGCCCTCCAAAATTTTTTCTTTTGAACAAAGCTTTTTAATATTTTACTTGAAATTAGGTTTAAAGAGCAATACAATAGTGCCTGCTTCATGTTACAAGCCTGTGAAGAGTTAACTGAGTAATCTGTATAGGATATTAATACAAAGGATCCATCGTGATAACTGACTTGCTGACACACAACCATTTATTGATATTACTGACGATCAGAAGGTTATTTGAATTCAGCACAGAAAGTACTGGAAAATGGGCTGCTTCCCACCCCCTAGCCCCTCCACCAACACGATAAAAAATGGAACAGAGTCCTGAAATATGTCTCTCATCAAGGAGAAAGGAACCTGCATACTTCTGTGGAACAGTCAAAATTCATACAGGGGAAGACAATTCCAAAGAACCACTCAGTAGTAGCATAACTTAATTTGAAAGGGCCCTCTGTGAATCATCCTGTCTAACTGTCTACTCAGAAGTGATCTAACCTCTGAATTTAAAAATGTCCTTTCTAATTGCATTCTCAGTCTCTGAAATGAGGGAGATTTCACAGCCCCTCTGGCACCTTGCTCCTGAGCTTGATCACTCTTGCCATTAATTTTATTTTTTGATCTAATCAGAATTTTCTCGGCTGCAACTTGTGTCCATTGCCCTTGTCCTTTCACACTTCTGAGAAGGGGCTGTTTCTGCTTTTTCTAGTACATCTGACATTTGAACTTCACAACCTGCCAGCCCTTCTCCACCTCAACAAAATAAAGAACCAATTTGCTGCAGTCATCAGATGAGACAGCCAATAAGGAAATCTTAGTTCGAAATGCCAGTCACAACAAATTGTAACCTGACAAATAATGAGGAAATATAGGAGAAACTGTCAGATATATTCACCTTCATGCTTCCTTTATGATGAAGATGATTTAGTGGGTTATAAATGCAGCTCTTCTGTAGTCTGAAGCCTTCATAGTTTTTTGTTTGTTTTTTAATTATAGAATAGAATACATAGCTGTGAGTCAAGATAGATTTAAAAATTTCACTCTTTTAAGGATTGCAGACCACAAAGTTTTTACATACAAAATGTCCTGCAACAGAACACTCTTTGGACTAATTATTTCTTGGGAATGTCTTTAAGTAGAAAACTGTGCAAAGCACCCATGGTTTAACTCCCAATCATGTGACAGAAGGTTTTCTAAACAGCTTTTCCTTGTAATCTCTTCATAATCTCTTAGCCCGGCTCCTTGGTCCACCTACACAATTCAAAATCTACCTGTGGAAATTTAATCCTCCCCAACCCCCTTTGGTCTCTCACAATCACAGGTGAGGATATCAACTCTGCAGGACAGAAGCCAGAGATGCTGGAAAACTTGACACCCTGAAAATACAGGGTCTCTCTTCCCATGCCAGGATTTAGTAATAACTCAAAATAGGATAGAAAAAAATGAGTAGAATACTGATCCTCGTTTGTGACAAAAACTTAGTATGTCTGCCATAAGCACAACTGAATTTATTTTTAGTTTTTTGCTTGTTGCATTTAATGATCACATTTAACAATAAGGCAGCAAAAGAATGCTACTTGGACATTCTAGTATCTCCGGATAATGTACATAACCTAAAGTTAAAAAACCCAATCCAAAACAAAACACAAAAAAGCCATGCAAAAGGAAGACAGTGATTTTTATGTGCAACTCATACACTAAATTCTAGACAACTACTTTCCAGTAGAAGTGCTAGGTGTCTGTTTATTCTACTTTTATGAGGAAGTTATAATATCCTTGTCTTCATTAATGGAATACAAACTGTACTGTTCTAGTGCACAGAATGCATTACCTCATGCTAAAGGTATTTTGTGTTTCCATATTGAGAGGAACAGAGTGTATTTACCACAATGCCTCCCTAAAATGCCAGATAAACCAAATATGTGATGAGATTGTAGTAACATGACTGGAAGGAGGTCACCTACCTTTCTGCTTCATGATGACCTCAAAAATTCGTTTTACTCTAAATTAATCTGACCATTTGGAGGAAGAGACACAGCAGGTAAAAAAGCCTTTGCTGGTGGCAAAGATATCTACCCTAAACAGAGGCCAGTGAATCTACTGGTAAACTGTTTCTCCATTAAAGATCAACATGAAAGTGACAATAAGAGATAGACAAAACAGGTGACATCGATCCTGGAAGGACTTCCAGGGTAACATGGGCAGTCTCTTACCTGAGCTGGTGAGCACACTCAGGGGGCTGCTGGAGGAGGTGAGAGCAGCGGTGCCACTTGGTGTGTTCTGAGCTGCACTGGCTGCAGCTGCCAACGCTGCCAGGTTCTGTAACTGCATCGCATTCAGTCCTGCAACACAGGGAAGAATGCCGAGTTTCTCCTGTCAGAGCCACCATCATCCAAGTGTAACAGATGCAGCAAGCTCATCACAAGGGACAAATGGGAAGCAGCAAATGCAACAGGCTTAATACTAGTAACTGATCTTTTTTACATTGCAATTCCTTATTATAATTGAAAATCTTTTTCTTTGCCCAGATAGATGTGATTCCAGAAAAGGCCAGGTGGTCATCCATAAACACCCGATGGAGACCCCAAAGTACAGGAATTTTCAAGCAGTGTTCCTCCAGACAACAAAAGCGTAGGTACAAGTTAAGTTAGGGTCTGAGACCTCATGTGCAAGCTAGAGAACTTGCCTAGACATCAGGCCAGTAACTTCTCCCACTCTCATGTCCCTCCACACTCTTTGTATGGGGACAGCAGTAACTGCAAAATTCTTTAATGAAGGCCTCATACCACAGAGGCCACAAAGTCACAGCTTCAACCCACCATCAGCTGAGCATCAGCATGTCTTGCTTGGTCCCCCTGGCAGCCAAGAAGCAACAGTCAATTGTGAGACAATCGTTAAGTGGCAACTCGTGACCACAGGATCAGCCAGTGTATGTGTAGGCTGGTCAAACACACTGGCAAGGAAAACAGGAAACCTCAGGCATGTTGTGCATAGGGAGCAAGGAATACTGCAGGGGGAGGAAGGGACGCCCGTGTTTATGAATTTTACTGGTCAATTTATTAATCTGACTCACCTTCATTTTGAACCACCATTTTTGAATGAAACCATTTGGTCAGTACTGACTGTATTTTACTCTCTTTTTCTGCCAGAGGATCCATTAAAATGGATCTCCTCCGGAATTTTAACCATCCTTTGGTAGACTAACTCCATTCTTCCAATTGTGTCTCCCTTCATTTTTTCCCTTATTTTCCATTTTTTTGTCTCTGCCTTTGACTATTTTAACAATTCTTCCTCTCTTCATCTGATTTCAGACAATCCCTAATATTAATTCCCAACGTAATTAAAAACAAAACTTAATTAATCCCCCTTAATTTAAAAACATCAGAACACCCAAAGCAGAGGTGTTATCTCATCTTTTGGATACCTAGTAAGTATCCCAAAAAGTATTTTGTGAGCAAAGCACACGTCTCAAATAATTAAATCCTCAGTTTTGTAATTTAAGCATGTAAACAGACAACATAAGAATGTGACAGCGCAGTATAAACAAATTATTTTCTAAAGTACTTCTAATACTTTTAGTACAGTTTGTTCATTTTTTTTAACTCTTATTCAATTTCTCTTCACGGCAGGATCTGTTTCCTTTGGCAAATTTAGTTCCCAAAACAACTGGATTCTGCCTTTATCTAGATTCTCAATATTACAGTGTAACATAAAAGCATGAAGTTAAAACCAAAAAGTTTTCTATTTTGCTTTTATTGCGCTACAGAGGGTTAAAAGTGCAAGTGTTGGAGCTAATGAAGAACGGAGCAGCTTGTTCCTTACTGAAGCAGTTTGTCATGTGCACACTGCACCTGTCCTCTTGTCATCACACTGTTTTCCCATCTGCTTTCAAACAGCGTCGAGATTAAATTCTGTCTACAAAGTCTGATATAGTTTGGGATCTAATTACCTACTTGATTTTTCTTTCTATGAATTTCAAGAAAGGAGATCAGCTGAGATGTCAAGACCTTAAAACTACAACTTTTTTGGTAGAGAATGACAGATTTGGAATAACCACGCAACATACTATTTATATGTCTGGTTTCTCAATTTTTAAGTTTTTTTGCTGTTGTTATTGTTGTCTTTTTGTTTGTTTGGGGTTTTTGTTTTGTTTGTTGTTCTTTTTTTTTAATAGTGAAGACAGAATTACCCTGAAAACTTCTCAATCTCAGCTAGTTACCCCTTTCCCTCTGCCCCAATCCTTACTGCCGTACTTTCTTCATTACATCCTGTTTTTAAGAAGACACAAGAAGGGGGAAAGGTCAGGATCATGTGCATAACAAAATCCATTATAGATCAGCTCCACACAGGATATCAGTGAAACTGTTTTTAAAAATAATTGCTTTTTCCAAGAGGCTTAGATCTAAGAGCTCTGAAGAGGTCCAACATGAAAGAAGTCAATGTAGGAAACTGAATTTAGAATCATCTTCCAGTATAAACCAAATTCTTACAAATGAAAATATAACACTTTGCAAATGTAATTTGTAATTACATTGATTACATTGTAAATGTAATTGTAATTGTTACTGATGGGTGCACCAGCCAACACAAGTCAGATCTACAAAGACACTTTTGGACGAACTTGTGCAAAGAAAGGGCACGTGATATCGGCAACTACTGAAAAACTCCAGGAGGCAATTTGAAAAATTAAAAGTCTTCAGTACTAAAATCAAAACTATAGATTTTTCTGCTGGCAAAAAATTTTAGAGAATGTGGGGAATGGAGTTGCTAACGTGTTTTATTATTCCCAACTGGGTGAAGACAAAAGAGACAACCAATTTACAGCCCCAGGACTGCTATACTCAATAAATGTTCTGACTAGTAGTCCACAGCAAGGAATTTGGCTCATATCTGTGAAGCTGATTTTCCCTAACAGTAATGGCATAATTAACTGTAACTCAAATGAATGAATAAAAGAATCTGAATGGAGCACTAGTTCACTTTCCTAACAACAGTATATTTCCAACTTAAATGCTAGATGCATTGAAAATGGGAACTAAGAACCCAGAATCACTGAAAACATGTGCATTAGTGAGTGCCTGTTTCAAAACACAGTTCTTCACATATGCAGCTGTTCGGATGAAAACAAATACAGAGAACATTCTTTCTGCTACTCCTACGGGAAGGAAATTTTAAATGCCAGAGGTTGGGGGAATACCACCACTTACCTTGGGGACAATAGTCAACTAAGATTAAGAAGGATCATCCACACTTTTAGCAGAGAATTAATTTCAAAGGAGTAGGCAAACTCAGGACGACTTATTTCAAATTTTCAAGATTAAAATGCCTACAGCCCTTTGGCTACTTTGTTTACCCATGTTCTCTTTTGTATGGCACTGAATTTGTCTTCTCATAGAAGTAAACTCACCTCCCATTGGGTGGAGGCTGCTCAGTGTGTTCAGGTTCCCAGATGAAGCAGCTGCTGTCTGCTGAAGGAGCTGCAAATAAAGCTAGACATTACACCAAAAAACAAAACAAGAGTGAGAGTGAGGGCTGGCTCTGCTTCTCCGGGAGAAATTGCATCACACCACAGCCAGAGCGCCGTCACAAAAGAATTCCTGCAGCCCATACACCACATCACAGCAAAGCGTAAAGAGAATTTCCTGAACAAGACAGCCAGAACACCACCACAGTGAAGCTCCACGTAGCCCATGCAGCACACTGCAGCCAAAGCAACAGCAAAATGCTTTCCTCACTCAATATCAGCAATGCTGAGGGAACATTATAGCCAATACACCAAGACAAAACAAGCAGAATCAGTAGTGAGAAAGAATTCCTATTCAAAGCCCTTAAGGCAGGATTGCCACCCCTAAGGATATGCTACCTCAAAACAGACTATACAGCTGACACTGCCAGCATGGGACAAATGGCAATGCCGTACCAAAACCAAAGAGCCACCAGGAGAGGGGACCTCCTCTACTTTCCTTATGCATGGTAGACATAAGAGACATTTCAAGCTTCAGGTCAGAAGGTTTTTAGAAATTTCCAATTCCTTGTTCCATTAACTAGCTCTTATTTAAAAAATTCCAATCTACTAAAACTAAAAAAGTAGTAAGAGAATTGCTCCATTTCAACTATACACCATACCAAGAATGAGATGAAATTTTCCTTTTCCTCAGACTTTATATTGCATGAATACAGTTGTCAGAGCTACTCTGGCAACCGAGTCACAGTGCATCAGTTTTTCAAAAGCTCATCCTTTACAGACCTAGCAAAATCAACTGAAATGAAACTGTAGTCTACCCTCTGTTACAGCATTCTTGCTAAAGAGAGTAGCTTCTTTTTATTTTCTGCAGGGTTTGCTTTTATTTGGTTGGTTGTGGTTTGGGTTTATTTAGTCTTCTTCCAATCTGATCATCTTTTCTATCTGGACAGTAACAAGTACTGTTTCAGGTTTCACTGGAAGAGGATGACAGAAATAAAGGAAAATGATAAAAGAATACAAGAACTATGTCATCAGATAGACATGAAAAGGACATTTATATAGTAAACCTTGAGGCAGTACTATATAAAGAAAAAGCACATTCTACAGAATGCAGGAGAAAAACCCAAGGTTTCAGTAATTAGAGCTACTGTGACTAGGGTTGAAATCCTCCCATAAAAGTATTTCAACTAGATGAGAGCACGGAACACAATTTCAGCCTTCTCATCCACAAAATGGGGATTAAGAACCCAGCTCCTTTCTACCAGGAGCCTTCTAAAAATGAATATATTAAACACTGCAAGACAGTCAGACACTTCAATCCCTGAAGAGATGTAAAGAACCCAAATCAGAAACTCACTGCTAAGTACTGGGGTCCAAGTGTGTTGAGACCAGCCAGGTTTCCCCATATTGAGGCAGCACTGATCTGTTGCATTTGTTGCTGAAGTTGCTGAGCAATTCGTTTCTGCTCTTTGTCCTTCTGCGTGTCTGCAAATTTTACAACAATGGGAGAAGAGCAACCCTGCAAACAGCAATTCAAACAATTACATACTTGCTATCCCCAGCAGTCACAAAAATACTGAATTAAGACCCAGACATTGGAAGCATTCCCCTCCTCCTCTATGCATACATACAGACACAGATATATATTCAAACAGCATATTTCATCAAAGGCTCAAAATCTTGTTTGCTTTTAATTCTATTTTGTATTTTGGTATTTTCTCTGCAGATGACGTTTCTATTTCTAAAAACAATTAAAAACTCTAAAAATAGAGCAAAACAAACACAAAGGTCCAGGAGCAGTTTTTGTGAAGAAACACACAACTGCACTTGTCCTTCCCTCTGCTTTCCCTGAAACTCCATAGTGACTGCCTGACAAATTTCATCTGCTCCTGACACCCACTAACTTGTTTTACCTCCATGGTTTGTGCTTGGTGCATTGCTTTGATTGCTGTTTGTGCCATGGCTCTTGTTGTAAAAGTCACAAATGCACAACCTGGGGAAAGAACAAAAAGGAATCAAGTTGTTCACTACCTCCACAATTATTGGGACGAATACAGGAATGAAAATGCTTAGAGGGTGTGGTTTGGAATCACAGAAAAAGCTCAAATGCCAGGTTGAGTTGCAAAAGGCAGCATCCAGCATCCTCAAACTGAAAAAAAGCTTCTTGCTTTGCTTACCTCGGCTCAGGCCATCCGGGCCCCGTAATATCCTGCATTCTTCAATCTGCCCAAAGGGGGAGAACATCACTCGAATATCGTTTTCATTGCACTTCTTGGATATCATTCCAATAAACAACTTCCTATCTTCTACTGCTAAGGAATCAAAAGATAAAGAGTATTACCAGAAAATATGTGCTTACTAGATCTTAGGACCTCTCCATTAACTGTAGTTATTTCCCTTGTATTTAGGATATGGGCTTATCAAAACCAGATTCCCAGTAATGGACTGTGTCTTCAATTTAAGAGGATGTATATGAAGCACTTCAATGAACCTGACAGATGTCTGTTTTATGATTTTATGTTTATGATTTGCTGACTATTTTTAGGTTGTGAAGTCTGTGAACAACAGGAATGTAAAAAAAAAGGAAAAACTTAAAGTATGTCAGATTCAGCACTTCCCTGTATGTCTTCAGTTCTAGGTGAGAGAAGGCTGGAAGGCTTGGACTATTTTCATTGTCTGTCCTCTGCTTATTCTATCTTTAGACTACCAACATATAGCTAACTGCATATAAACAAGCAACTGAACTGCAGAAAGCTTCTTTTTAGCCTCATGCCAATCACCTAAATTTAGATATGCCCATTTCTTCATGCTCCTCTCTCAACAGTGGAAGCAACAACAGTTGCTAAAACAGAACACTTATACTTCTGTTAGTGATACACCCATTCTGATCTGCACCAAAAACACAAAAATAACACTTCAAATCAAACCACAGACCGTGTGGTACTATTTCTTGGCTCTAAATACTGATGCTATTAGATATATTAGAGTTTGAAGTGTGCAGACTGTTTTAAATAAATGGTTCAAAAAGACATTTCTCTTAACTTTCCAGTTAGTTGTTACTAATGTCAGCTAAAGGTCACTTGAGTGAGTGGGATAAATTCGAATTCAGAGCAGAATTTTATACTCTTGATTTATTTATTTAAGGATGCTAATCACCTCTGAAACACTTTCTTTTAAAAGATGAAGTGAATTATTCAGAATATCAGTTCAAAATATAAAACAGTTTAGACACAAAACACTCATCACAATATAAAATATAGTAAGTATGATGAAGGCTCTAGCAGATTCTGAAGCTTCAATAAAGTCTTCTCCTATTCAGTGCTATAGTGAGGGGAAATCAACTTGTTGAGCCTTCCATGATGCTACAAAGGAAGACTCCAAACTATTCCAGAAGACATGATTTTAACAACATTAAATCTTAATGTTGTACCTAATTAATTTTCTGGTCTTAGAGCAGAAAGATGCTTTCAAACCCTTTTAGCAGTCTATTTTAGTTCAAGAGATCCAGAATCCCTTGTCTTGGGGGCAAGTTCAAATATATAACTAATGCTTTCTTGTTTATTGTCACCTTTACTTTTTATTAACACTCAGAGTTAAATAATAGCCTCAGATTTACCATCCTATAATACCATTGAATACTATTTTCACTTTCCATTATTTTCCCAGGATACTTGTATGTGTGTTTGTATGTAATGCAAGGTCAGTTTTAGTTTAGAGAACCTATTCTGTTCTCCTCCCAAAAATATTTCAAAAGAATGACTACTTTCTAGATATATTTACACAGGAACATGTCCTGTGTACCTATGGAGGAATCTGGAGATAGAATTACTCATACTGTGTATTCCATCTACTGTTTTTAATTATATTAAGAGGTAAGCTTTCTCAAACCAGGACTATCTTCTCCATGATGCAACACAAACTATTGCAAATGAAGAAAATAAAATTTGTCTGAGCCTAGAAAGGTTGAAACTACAGGATGCTAAATGCTTTCTTTGCTTAGGTTGCACCAATACAGATACATATTTGAACATGCATGTATATATGCACATAAACTCACAAGGAAATGCATGGATAAATGATTGTTTACCCAGTGGTAGATGCTAAATTTTTAATCCACCTGAAATGGTCAATGTGCAGAAATATTCAGTTTATCTTCTCTACTGAACTGCTGTTAATTCTATCCAGACAGGTCTTGAACACTTCCAAGGATGGGGAACCCACAGTTCCTCTGGGTAATGTGTTCCAGTGTCTTACAATCCTTACAGTAAAGAATTTTTTCATAAAATCTAATTTAAATCCTGTTCAGTTTAGTACTGTTATCTCTTGTGCTATCACTAGGATAAACAATCCCTCCACATCCTCCTTGCAGGCCCCCTTCAGGTATGGAGGATTGCTAGAAGGTGTCCCTGGAGCCTTTACTTCTCCAGGAGGAACAACCCCAACTCTCTCAGCCTGTCCTCATGGGGGAGGTGCCCATCCCTCTGATTATCTCAATGGCCCTTTCCTGAACATGCTTGAGCAGGTCAATGTCTTATGCTGGTAGTTCCAGAGCTGAATGCAGTACAACAGATGGGGTCTCATGACAGCAGAGAGGGAGAATCACCCCCCCCTGCCCCCAACCAGCTATTTTCTCCTTGAGATGCAGCCCAGGATATGACTGGCTTTCTGGGCTGCAAGTGCACACTGCCTGTTTATATTAATTTTTCAGTCACCAAGTCCTTCTCAGGGTTGCCCTCAATCCACTCCTCCTCAGCCTGTATCTATGTTTGCAGGACCTTGGCCTTGTTGAACTTCATGAGGTTGGCACAGCCCCACCTCTCCAGCCCATTAAGACTCCTCTGGATGACTTCTTCTCCCTCCAGAGTATCAACTGCAGCACTCAGCTTGACCCATAAGCTTGCTGAGGATGCACTCAATCCCACTGTCCATGTCCCCAGCAAAGACTTAAACCATCTTAGCACAAAGAAGAACTCACTGGATGTTTCCCTAAATGACAACATGGTTCTACCACAGGCAGCAGCAGAGGAGATACTCTGAGTCATGGAATTTGAGAGACATCACTCACACTACCTATTATTGAAAACACACCTTTCTGTTTTCACTTTTTTTCTTTTAAAAAACCAGACCACCAATTCAAGATGTCATCAAAAGGGATGATGTTAAGCAAAAGGAAAATCCTCAAGCTTCCTGACTAGCACAAATGAAGACACAAAACTGGGACTTTAGCAAAGCTTACCATTACTCTTTTCACTATCAGCTGGTTTCATCTGGATAGGATGGTGCATCTAAAACGTAAAAAGATTATTTAATCCCAGATCCAGTCACTTCACACTATATGAAATACATCCCATAAGAATTGTGCAAGAAATTATAGCCTAAATTGCCTCTAGAGAGGTGCACATGTATCACTACAAAAATTCCAAGAAGAAAGGCTTTCCTTATTATATGCCATCATTCTTGCCCAGAGTATTATAAAACCCATGCCCACCCCCTTCACTGCCGTATCATTCTTTTAAATACTCAAAAATTCCCATAAGACCTGTTATTATATAGATCTCATAACACTGATCTTTTGAATAGTTTTTTACAACATTATTTTAGGGCAACATAATGTGTTTGTGCTTCAGTGGTGCTGGAGCTCAGAGAAACAACACAGAGCTGTGAAGAAAGCGGGGCTCTGCTCTTACTTACCCCTGGGAGGATCTTCATGTTGTGAAGAGCATTCTGTGCTTCTAGTGCAGCTTTACGGGTATAAAATGTAACAAAACAGCACCCTGCAATTGAAACAAAATGTTACCCAGGAAAGAACACTAAATCTTGGAGTGCTGCTCAGAAATTACAAGCCTCACTTCCATCTTTCCAATGCAAAATGTATGATAGGTAGAAGAGGTTAGACACTGAAACAGGAAGGTGCTACCGTTTGTGACAGTTTAAAAAAAGATTTCCAAGTGTAATGAAATAGAATATGTTCAGAACTGACCCAACATCACTACTACACCATTAAAACACTTAGACACATCTGTTGGCTACTTAAGTTTCAAACTCAATTATTTCCTAGTACCAAAACCCAACCTTGCTTCACAGGAAATATTACATATAACTGAACTGCAAATCCAGGCACAAAATTTAGTAAGGATATAATGTTTATAAGTATTTAATTAACATGAATGACTAAAGCCCCAGTTTCACATTTATCTGAAACGGCATCCCATCCAGCAACATTTTGATAATATCACAGAATCACAGTGATACTCAGGAGCAACACAGTATTGCTGGATGTTCTACTTTGCAGGTATAATCCGTACTACTCAAGCATCTCCATCACTGCTGAGCTCCAAAAGAAATTATGTTTTTTCTGAGCTCAGCTAATGACTGGATCACAGTCCAAGTATAGTTACACAAACACAGTTGAAGACTTTATAAAGTCTGGGCTTGCATGCACACATGGTCACACAGAGCTCCTACAGGGCTGTTTGAATAAGCACACAGCTAAAATGCAACTATGTGAAAGTGGCTGAAACACCAAGTCTCACAAGAGAAGTACAGAAGTTCTCACCTTTGCTTTGAGGAGGGTTTTGGCTCCTGTCCCGCAAGACATTGATTTCGTAGACAGCACCATACTGTTCAAAAAGTTCTCTTAGATCCTTCTCACACCAGCTCCGTGGGACTTGACCCACAAACATTTTGATAGCATCTAGATCAGGTTGGTCTGGGTGATCCAGTGTGCCATTCATTTTCTTTGAGCTATGAAAAACAAGAAGGCATTTCTGGTTTATACCTTCCTACAGATTCTAGACAAAAGCATGCTTACAGCAAAATTAAAGAAAATATAATTTTCTACACATATATAAATGTGTACGATGAAAATATACAAAAATATACATGTATATATACATACACATAAAAATATACATATATATGTATGAAAATATACATAAAAAGAGAAACTCTTGCACATTCCCAGTATGCATACCAGAGTACATTCACATTCATTGGCAAGCTGTGTACTTGAACCTGGAACCAAATACACTCTACACAGCTGTTTAAAACTCTGTTCCCATAATGTCGTCAACAGCTGGCATTCAGGATATAAATCTGCTGAGATAACTGAAAAATATCACTAGTGCAACCATGTAAAATTTTACAGAAGAAACCAGAACCATAAGGAACCTAAGCTCAGTCTACCTACAAACTACTGAAGTTATCAGTAATCACTGAAAATGAGAATGTTATTACAAGGTTTTTAAATGAGACTAATTTTAACTGTTTCCCAAGGTGAAGAGACATCTTAAAACAGATAAACAGAATCAAATGATCCACTGCTAAGTTTCTTCAAAGGTTTACAAGGCAATACTTCTTTGCGAAAAGTAGGGAGCTTTCAACAATAATTGGCAAAAAACCAGGCTTAGATTGCACATGAAAAGGCTGGGATTGGACAATTCAGTTAGTTACAGACTGAATCAGGTTCAATGTCAGGATTCTAATACAGAAAAAAAGTCACTTCTTAGACTACAACACCAAAGTTTTGAGTATGGGAATCCTCAATGGGTTTCAAGGCATTCTGTCTAGCCATATGAGCAGTTTACACCCTATTAAAAAAAGTTGTGTTATGCTCCACCCAGCCAGCTGACAAGTCCTACACTGCTCCCTGTATTGACTCCTTGTTATTTGTTAGGTGCACTGTGATGTCTGTTATCAGTACTCCCAGCCTGGTACACCAGAGCACCTCTCTGCCTGCAGAAGTTTGACTGTAATGACATCCTATTGTAGCTATAGTGATTAGTTGGTTAAAATTGCTGACCAATCCCTGCATAATCTAGAAAGGACATGAAGAGTGGAACAGCAACTATACAGCGATTCCCCCCACCCCCAAACTCTTTGTTGAAGAATACAGGTGGTCTTCTTCCAGAGTAGTCAGTTCTCTTTGTCTCTGCTTTGTTCCTTTGAAGATAGTTCGAATGGCTTATTAACTGCACATGACAGTAAACAGTATTCCTCTCACTGCCCATCTGAAATCGTATTCCCTCCGAAAAGAATTTAAAAAAAAATAAAAAGAAAATCCAAGCCCAGTACTCTTTAGTACTTTTCCCCGTCAATACACTGCTGTTCAGAGTCTAAGGAAAAACTGATGTTAGGGAAAACTCATAATATCAAAGCTGTATGAACAGACCTCAAAAATAACAAAGCTTCTTAGTAGAAGGGATAGGAAGGGAATCATCATAAATCCTTTCACTCTTCTCCACCTTCCACTCAGTAAGGGTCAGCACCTCTCCAAACAGCCAAGTGAAACAACACCTTTTACAAAGATGTAAACTACCTCTTTTCATTTCAGTTAAGAACAATTGAAAATTGTTTACCCTCTCCAATAACTTTGAGCTTTGCCTTCCATGGGTAGCTTCAAGAGCACAACATGGCTCCTATTAATGGGGCAACTCTTAACATGACCTCATCCGTATTTAAGGAATAGTTTACTCCTAACCAAAAGGTTTAGTCTGGAGTCTCTAATAGGGAAGAACAGAAAAAGTTCTTCCCACAAGTGATTTCAAGAATCCATTTTATAGTATCACACCTGTAGCATACTATAAACAGTATCATCAAACAGCTTTATTCCTCCTTAGTCCTTATCGCCACAATTATCAGACCATTTCCCTCCCCATCTAGAAACCAACATCAATATTCCATGACAACTAGGATTTCTTCAAGAAAACAAACTGCAGACTCTCCTATCTCTCCTTCCTGTCTCTCTCTGTCCCAACACACAGCAGAGGCTTGAGACAGCAATTCCAACTATCATTTTAGTTATAACTTAGACATGAAAAGAAAATACTTACACCGGGTTTGCATTCAAGGAGCAATGGTCCACCATCATCTCTGGGAGGAAATCCAACTTGAACGCGGCCATCACCTCAGTCTATGACAAACTACTAACACTAAATCAATGTACTGCCTAACCCCCAAACAACGCCACTTCCAAAAGTCCTGCAGGTCTTAACACTCAGCCACGCAAAAAACACTCAAACCACAGAAACAGAAGCTCAGGGAGACCAGCAATAGACACCACAGAAACAGGCTGGACTGGGAAAGGGACATGGAATCCCAGATTAAAAAGGGGATGTGACCATGTGAAGGGAGGCTCAGCTTAATACACAATGAAAATGCTGATGCACTAGGCTTGTTTTGTGCAATTTTCCCTGGCGAAGCAGTACTGAGTGCACTGTCAGATAAACAGAGTGTCAGATCCATGAAGATAGCAATGGGTAACAGAGCAGAAAGAATACAAACTCCAGTCTTTCCACCCCCAACTAACTCCTTGTCTCCCAAAATGGCAGACCAAGGCCTTGAAGTTCAGACAAGCACTTTCCAAATCAGCAATACTAAGGCGTGAAGTCAAGAGGTTCCTTCACCATAAACATTTTTAATAGCTGATTTCACTCTCTTCACCTTGTGCTCTACTATTGACAGTCTCAACTTCTACAGCAAAAAATGCCAACTACAACTTTCTCCAAACCTGCCAAAAAAATCAAAACTAGGAAGATTTGATTATTCAAAAATTCCTCAACAGAACACCAAAACCAATTCCTTTTATAGAAGCAAAACATACATCCTTCTGGAAACAATACTTTGTCTACAAATCCAGATATTCAGAGTCTATAAATGACCAAGAAAGGGAAAAAACCTAGTGATTTATCAAAAACCATTTTACAATCTTTGAGAACACTGATCAGAACACCTCAGCAGTTACACCGTTAAAACAGACATAGCACGTTGATCAAGGAACTGTGAGATGCATTTATATGCATTTAAAGCTTATATGCAATGTAAGCTTTTTGTTAAGTCTCCAGTACCCAAACTAATGGGGAGATAATCTGGATAAAACTGGATACACTGTGAAATGCAGAAATATTTGATTGTGGGGAATGAGTGCTGCAGAGGCAGCTGGGTGTGTTGGAGAACTCCAGGAGGAACGGTTAATTGGAGTCTAACATGAGACCAGAAACCCTTATATACGGTCGATGTAGCCACAAAATAACCTCTCAGAGCATCAAGGACTGCATGCTGGAGCAGCTGTGATCACATCTTTGTCCTCTGTCAATGACTGCAATATGTACTTGCAGTTATTCTGACTGGCCAGTTCACACAGCTTTATTTAAGCTTGAACAGTTACAGTATGTCAATAGTTTTTTTCATAAATAACATTTGCAACCTCTGAAAAAAAAATTTAAAAAGAACATTTCTTATCTTTTGTCAGCAGTGAGGTTAATTAAAAGGAGCCAGGCCTTGTAATACAAAGAGATATGCATACACTGCAAAATAAGAGAGGACATGAATTTCTCACACATCAGATATGCAACAGTAACTACTCCATGCATGCTCTTACTATGTGATAAATGCAAGAAAGCTTTCTCTTTAAAGAAAAAGGTGTTAGCTATCTGCTAAGCACCATTGTTAAGAACATGCAAGTAGGCATTAGGGAGCACAGGTCAATTTTCAGCTTTCAGTAAATTAAATTGTTCTATCTGCCTTTAGACACATATTACAGGTTTCCCACTTGAAAAATGCCATGCTGAGTAAAACCTATCATATTCATCATACTCAAATGCTAAATTGATCCTAGAGCCCATTTCATGCATTTGTCTAAAATGAGACTGCAGAGAAAAACTTTTCAGATTTACACGATTAAAACAACAGATTATAGGGTGTGATTCCTAGATGACATGAATCTATAGACCAACACTGTAAATTCTGGCCCTATCCAGGAAGACCAGAACTCATTCCTTTTGGTCTTTCACTTATCTTTAGCTTTTTCAAGCAGCCAATAAAATGCCCCAGCTGCCATGCTCACTGTAGGTTCGATAAAAGACAGTGCTGGCAACACATAGTCTAGAAAAGGGGTTTTAAAAATGTTACTGAGATTGATTGTTTACTGAAGAAAATCACTATGCCATTATGATTTGATCCTATGCCCACCCTATCCCTCATCTCTCTGCTCCTCAAAATCCAAGTCCTATCTTCTTGCTCCATTAAGATAAAACTGCAAAGTTATAGGCACTATTTGTCAGAAGGGAAAAATCAATATTAGAATGGTGAATAAATACCTGAAGATATGTCAACCAAGACTCAGCGCCTCTGGGTACCATACTTTTGAAGTAATGATGGCAACTTCAGTGACAAAACTCTGTACAAATGGGTTATTTAGTTGAAGGCTTCAAGCTAGTGAAATTAAAAGATTTACAGACTTCAATTGTGAAAATATCAGAAAGAGTGGAAAAAAAAAAAGAGTGGTATTTCACTACTGCACAAAAATAAGAATTAAGTGAGGAAGTGTTTCTTTAAAATTAGAAAAAACCAAAAGTAATCCTAACCATTTCTCACAAAAAAAAGAAAAATAAGGGAGCTAAACACACTTATTTTTTTGCTCAGATATCAAATTCCTGCTGGCTTCCAGATCCATTCTTTGACTGTTTCTATTCAAAGGATAACAGAAACAATGTCTGAAATGCCAAGCTCCATAGACTGTAGCTACACATTTAAATGTGGTGCTCATCTGACAGTATGAACATTAAGAAGCTTCTACATATTACACATTAGATCTCAATTTTTACAGTTCTGAAGCCCTAGATGATGCTGCAGAAAGTGTCATTATATGTGCTCCTGAGAGACTGCAGAGTATAAATGTTGAAAACCTTTTGCTTTTAAGTTTACAGAATTACATCACATCCTATGGCAAAAAATCCCAAAAATTC